AAAATCACCAATTTTCACCAAGAGGCATCCCATAAATATATTTTTACCTTTTTGTATTTTTAAGTGGTACCATAACCAATTCACCTTTAGCACAGCCAACGTGCACTACGCAGACGAAATTTCTTAAAGCACACCTGAAAAAGTCAGGGAATTTCATTCTTCTGCTTGAGTGGCAGCCCTGCATACATTTTTACATTAGAAAGACAATATTTCAGTTACAAAAACTAATCAATGTAAATAATGTAACAGCCCCTAATAAATAAAATCTTTGCTTTTATTTCTGTCAAGAAACAATTAGAAATAAGAGCATATTCAGAAGAAATTTACAAGGCCACGTTTTTCAGGTAGTTAAAAACTTCTTACAACAGCTTAGAAAACACCAAGATAATAAAAAGAGAGATATCTGAACAGGTACGTGAATGAATTAACAGAGATATCTGAATACACTGAAGTATAGCACACAATGAAGAACTCATCACACATAACAAAAGAGAACAAATTCTTGCATTTATCAGCACAAAATACATACTTCTGAGACAGCTGGATGTGTGCAATAAAGAAAATATATCTGTATAGTATAGATAAGTATAATTTTCTTTCCTTATTTTTAATGGCAGAAAGATGCCTAGACTTTGAATAGTTTTTATAATTCTATAAAATTCGTTTTTTATCTTCCAAGAACATTTATTGAAAGAATATTTTTTATGGGCAAGGTGCAGAATCACCCACGGCTTGGCACATTTTTAAGAATTGCACATACTCGGTATCCATGTACATATCGACCTATTTTCACTTTTAAAAAAAATCCCAGAACTGCATAAAAATGGCATTGCACACTCCCTTGACTTTATCCATGTACATATCGACCTATTTTTCACTTTAAAAGTCAAAAATCCAATTCTTCTTACTCTTGTAAAAAGCGCCAAATAAAGAAGTGGGCGATTCTGCACTTTACCTTTTTTCATTATGAAAATATACATCTACCTATTTTCACTTTAAAAAAAAAATCCCAGAACTGCATAAAAATGGCATTGCACACTCCCTTGACTTTATCCATGTACATATCGACCTATTTTTCACTTAAAAAGTCAAAGAAAATTGACAAAAATCCAATTCTTCTTACTCTTGTAAAAAGCGCCAAATAAAGAAGTGGGCGATTCTGCACTTTACCTTTTTTTCATTATGAAAATATGTTATCAGAGCAGAAATCAAGTTAAAAGCTGTGCTAACTGCAAAACAAACATAACAGTATATGACACGTTCAAGAATGAAAATTGTAAGACAAACATTCATGTTACAATATAGTTTCATGCTAAGAATTCATGCTACAATACATGCAAAGAACCTTTAAGAAACACAAATTTTTATACGAGTTCTGTTACGAAGAATAATAGTAAGATTAACATGTTTTTATTCTTTTTCTTTCATGACTAACCTCATGCGTTTCATTTTTCTTTACATCAACAACTTGAGACGATACGAGACTACATAATAACCGATTAATTAGGATGATACATAACAGCCTTTGGTGAATCTTCGGATTATGGTAACTTAGCGAATTTTTGGCGACCAACCCTGCTACAGCAACCTGCTAGTTTTTTTAGACGCCATTTTGTTTTCACAAAGTAAAGGCTTCTTTTTTTTTTTTTTTTTTTTTTTTTTTTTTTTTTTTACTGAACTTTTTTTCCAACAATCTGCTGGCCAAATTACGCTTATGCTAGAACTTTTATGGAACAAAAGTACTTAATCATGATGAAGATTAGGTGCGAAATTAGGAGAAAGTGTAGAATCGCCCACTGTTTGCCGCGTTTTTAAGAATTGCATATACACGGTATCCATGTACACGTCGACCTATTTTCACTTAAAAAGTCAAATAAAATTGACAAAAATCCAATTCTTCTTACTCTTGTAAAAAGCGCCAAACAAATAAGTGGGCGATTCTGCACTTTAGCAGCAAAATTGTTTCTAAGTGCTTATTAGCCAAAATCCTGATTGGAATTTTCCGGAAAATGTCACATTACATGTCTTATGATCTGTCATTTCTCCGAGACAAAATAATCTGTAATTCGAACTGTGTACTTCTCGGATTATTGCTAAAGTCCTAGATAGTAACCTTTATCGTCTTACCAAAATGTCACCAAACTACCTGTTACCATATTCCAAAGATTAGCCATGCCTTCCCTTTTTCTAAGTTTCGTAGACAAGCGATAAGCACTTAATAAATTAAAACAGAATGTGGGGTTGATCTTTACAATATGGTAACTGGTAATTTGGCGACATTTTGGAGGCGATAAAGGTTACTACAGTCAAAAGTCGTTAATTCGGACACCCATAATCCGGAATGATCTATAATCCGGACCTCAAAGCTAAAAACTTTCTGCGCATGCGCCGCGTTGGCACATGCGCACAGGCGTTTTACGCGTGCCGTAAGACCTTGACTACTGCGCATATGCGTGTGCGCAAGTGCAGAATACATTTTCGCCTGCGCGTTTAATGTATAACGGACGGCGTAAGCTAAAATTATCTAATTATCTATTTCAGTTAATGTAAATGATTGCGTTGTTCCTTAATCTTCGAATTGGATCCCGCTTATTATTTTTTGCAGACTGTAAGAGCAATTTTATAAAAATAAACTTGAACTTTCGATTATGTCAAATAGAATTTCCGATGCTGGAACTTCCAAAGGATCTACAAAATGAAAGTATGTTTCGATGTCCAACAAACAAAAAGTGAAATTACTGCAAAAAATGGTAAAGACATGAAGAATGTGACAGAGAGGTTAGTGAAAACGAAAAAATTTCGATTGACAAGTTACTCGGTATTCTCGGCACAGCAATTAACGAGACTTGAACAGCGGAACTTTGTAACTGAACAAGAAATTATGTCTTTTTATAGAATTAAAGAGAAAGTATTATCACATAAAATGAAGCAACTTAAACAACTTACACTGAGAGAAATGTTTAATAAAGTAAACAAATAAATATTAAGCTTTTTTTTTTGTAAATTTTGATACCCTTTAGATCATAATTGGTCTTTATTTCATAAATTAAGGTTTCATATTTTTAAATAACTTACACTGAGAGAAATGTTTAATAAAGTAAACAAATAAATATTAAGCTTTTTTTTTTGTAAATTTTGATACCCTTTAGATCATAATTGTTCTTTATTTCATAAATTACGGTTTCATATTTTTAATTTTAGAATTTCTGCATGCCATCTTACGAGATTTAAACTGATGATCTATAATCCGGAAAAATCGATAATCCGGAATCGCCGAAGTCCCGACGAGTCCGGATTAACGACTTTTGACTGTACCTGGGACTTTGGTAATAATGTGAGCAGTACTCAGTTCCGATTACGCATTATTTTGTGTGAGGGAAATGAGAGATCATGGGATATGTCATGTGATATTAATGGACGAATTACGGTTCTTTTAATCGGAAAAGGGGGAAATCGGGAAAAATCTGGAAATTTTGTATTTGGCTTTATTCTGTGTTGTGTGAAACAGTGTTCGTGAATTTTTGGATCCCATGGCCGTAACTAAAGTGAATTCGAAATGGGTATTTATGTATGTATTAATTTAATGTATGTGCTCATTTATATTTTAAGTAGTGTTTTTGAATTTGATTATATTTTAATTAAATGATAGTTTTTTGTGAATTTTATGTTTGTAGGAATTTGGTATACGTTTTAGTTGAAGTAAACGTGCATGGAAATAATTTAAATATCTGACACTAAGTATTTGTAATGCTTGCGGTATGAATTTGTTGGTGACGTTTATAATATAATAGATGATTTAGAGGTAAAACTTTTTGGATATTTTATTATTTTATATGTGGAAATGTTCATATTTGGAAAGGGTAAATACTTTTTTCGCGATCAGGTAATTTCATATATGTTCTTTTTACCGGGTTTAAAGATTGAGAAAATTGTCATGTATTTTCGTGAAATTTTTCTAATTTATGAGAAAAAAGCGGTGTACATGGATATAGTGAAGAGTGTGCGCAATGCCATTTTTGTGCAATTCTGGGATTTTTTTTAAGTAAAAATAAGTCGACATGTACACGGTTTAATGATATTTGAATTAAAGGATAGTTATTTTGTGAATTTTATGTTTGTAGGAATTTGGTATACGTTTAAGTTGAAGTAAACATGCATGGAAATAATTTAAATATTTGATAGTAAGTATTTGTAATGCTTGCGGTATGAATTCGTTGGTGACGTGTATAATGTAATAAGATGATTTAGAGGTAAAACTTTTTGGATATTTTATTTATTTTATATGTGGAAATGTTCATATTTGTAAAGGGTAAATACTTTTTCGCGACCAGGTAATTTCATATATGTCCTTTTTACCGGGTTTAAAGATTGAGAAAATTGTCATGTATTTTCGTGAAATTTTTCTAACTTATGAGAAAAAAGCAGTGTACATGGATATAGTGAAGAGTGTGTGCAATGCCATTTTTGTGCAATTCTGGGATGTTTTTTTTAAGTAAAATAAGTCGGCGTTTACATGGTTTATGTGTATGTGTTATTTTGAAAAACGCGTAAGGAGTACGGTATTGTGCACTTTTCCCAATTTTGCAGTGAATATTTGTCATGATTAAGAGTTTTGTTTGATAAAATTTCTAGCATAACTGTAACTTGGCTAGTAGATTGTTGGAAGAAGTGTTCAGTAGATAAAAAGAAAAGAAACATGTCTTTACTTCGTGAAGACAAAATGGCGGCGGGGAAAAAAAAATAGAGGGTTGCTGTAGGAGAGTTGGTTGCCAAATTTTCGCCAAAAAATCGCCAAGTTACCATAATGTAAAGATCAACCGAATGTGGCTGTCATGATCTTCACTTAGCAACAGGCGTACATTTTGATATTATTCTATTTAGCTACCAGATGACTACTGTGTAGACATTCTTAACAAATTTCCTATAACCAATAGATAAATTTTTCCACGATAAAAAGTAATTAACATAAAAGCAATATTTTTATTCGGCATAAATTTTACCTGAAGTCCAGCTCTAGCAGAACGAGAAATAGCTTTAGCCTTGGACTTTCCCGAATCTTTACCAGCTTTACCTCCAGCCTTAAACAAAACCAAAATTTAATATTCCATAACACTCCAAAATACTATACGATTTATGATAATGGTAGAAACGAATACTTACCATCTTCGTAACAAATACAAACTATTACAAAACTCAAGAAGGCAGTGAACAAAACCGTTCGCTCCACTTCGCGGTAAAATTCCGAACTGCTATTTGTTCTATTGGCTAGAGCTGGAGCAAACCACATGTATTCGTTACTGAGTAACGGGTACATCGGTTGACTCGAAGTACCGATTCGGTACTCACAAATTCATTTCGTTACTCGCATCTGTTCGTTACTCGCATCTGTCGTACGATGCGGTTTGTTCGAGTACGAATGATGCGGTTTCTATGCGAATACGAATGATGCGGTTGCTGTTCGAATAGGAATGATACGGTTGCGTCACAATGCGCTCATATTTTTCATAGATAATTTTGAATTTTTTTGGGCATCGGGCAAACTCTTGTTTACATTATGTGTTTTAGTTGAAATACTATTTAGTTTAGTTGTTGATATTTAAGAAAATGAGCAATTTTGATAGCGCGAAGCGTTATTTTGTATTTGCTTTTTACTATTGCTATTTATGTTTGTAATTTGAAAATTTAGATGATTCTTCTTTTTTTTTTTTTTTTTTTTTTTTTTTTTTTTTTTTTCTTGAGCGTGCCATAGTCAGATTTTATTGATTTGAAATATTTATATACTGCACTTAGGTATTGTTTATATAAGAATATGTAGGTTAATATAGGTTCTTTACTTCCTTGTATCAAATAAAATGGTAGTAATTATTGTAATCGAGAAAACTTTTGGGTATCATATTTTAACGGAAATATCCGTTTTTGACGATTACGGAATCCATGTGAATTATTTTTTGGGCTGACGCCTGTACGTACGAACACAATGAAGGACTCTCTCTCTCTCTCTTTTTTTTTTTTTTTTTCAAAAAAACTTATTGTTAAATGTAATCCCATTTACTCTAAGCTGATACTTATGACTAATGATTATGACTCTAAGTTGATACTTGAAAGGGATTTTTTTCGTGATGTGTAAGTACGTATGTATGCATTTTGCATAACTCAAAAACGGTTAGTTATAGAACGTTGAAATTTTGTATATGGGTCCGTTATAACATCTAGATGTGCACCTCCCTTTTTATTGCAATCGGTAATACTACCAAACGTAAATATGTATATATATATATATATATATCAAATAAATTATAATTAAATGTAAAGTACATATATATATGTCCTTATAATTAAATGTAAAGTACACACACACACATATATATATATATAAAATAAAAGCCAAGTAAGGCGAAAATAAAAGCTTTGGCTTTTATTTTATTTAATTATCACTAAATAAGTTACTTGACTTTTATTTTCGCAATCATTGGTTGTAGTCAGGACTTAATTTTTAAAATTAGAAGTGCTGGAGCTCTATGGAAGGCCATCAGGAAAGATGAATAAATAAATAAATAAAAATAAATAAAAACTATTACAATAATAAAATAATTAGCAACTAGAATATTAAATGATTATTATTATAATTCAATAAAAATTTAAAGACAAATGAAAATTTAATTAATTCTTAAATTAATGATGAATAACTAAGTAATGAAATAAAATACCAGACATTGTCTTGTTTGGGGGCTGTGGCTAAAATTGCAATTTAAGAACTAAGCCGAGCATTAGCTAAATTTAGGCTTTTGATGAGCAAATAATGTACTGTTTACCAGAGTATAGATAGAAATTTGGTTATGTAGCCCATTCTTCTAAAACGACGTTTCGTAGCTGCCTTCCACCACCAATTCCCCCCTTTTTTTTTTTTCCTTCAGTTTCGGTTTATTCGGTTACAGCAAAGCACACTAGGGCTATTGCCTACGGGGAGGGAGGCCTTCGTGTAGGATTTTTTAAAGGGAACTGACTCATATGCAAGTTACACACGGGAATAACAATGAAAACGCCCGTGCAGCTAGCCTTTAGCCGGGAATTGAACCCAGGACCGAACTATTAGTGCTCAGCGAGTTTACCGCTCGAGCTCTGGTGGGCTCTTTTTTTCTTTTCATTCGCTGTTTGAAAAACGGGTGTTCACTTTACGATAAAGTAAGCACCTGTTTACTTCAATTAAAATGGGTTAGACGATATGACTCTTCCTACTTTAATCTCACTTAGCTTTTGATTTCTAATATTGATTCAATGTTTTCTGTAGACAAAGTATTCTGATTAGAATAATAGATTTCAAACATGTTCAAAAGGTGTGTATCTGAATATAATTAGGTTTTTATAACATAGGGCACATTTTATTAGTTTCACATAGTTCTAAAGCAATTGAACCACAGCATCGCTGTTTTGAAAGAAAGTAAAAATGTGAGAAATGTATAATGAACATTAATATATACAGGCTTTATTAAAAGTAGTCAGCCTTTTAAAACGTGACCGTCTATGCTTTTAGAGGATTTTTGGAGCTCTGTGCATTTGCTCTGGCATCTTAAAAAAGTGATGTTCAATATCAACGTATGTTTATGTTCTCTCAAAAATACAGGTTTCTTTCAGAAAGCGACCTCTTAGAAGTCGTCAATAAATGATTCAGTATAGTTATTTTTTCTAATAGACCATAGAATAAATTTATTTTAACGTCAATTTAAAAATGGCTGCTTGTACTAAGAGTTAAGAGCAATAAGACTCTAATTTTTCTTTCGCAATTAGCTATCATGCCAGCTGAATTGTTTTCTGCATAATCCTTTATTGTGTATAATTGAAATATTTAGCTATGCATTCAACAAATATACAACAAATGTAAGACAAATCATTAAAAAAATTAAAATTTGGAACATTAATGATAATTTTTTTGTTATACATAAAATATTATTAATGAATGATGAATTTATATCATATTATATATAAATCAAAATTTAAACTCCTATTCCTTTATAATAAATTGAAGAAAAGCTATAAAGTGAATTAATTTTTAAAAACAAAACGAAAATTAAAAAAAAAATTTTTCATATACCTAGAATCTAAAAATGACGAATACTGAATTTTACGACTCATGTGTGTATTTAATTATGGCAAGGCACACTATGGCTATCTGCCTAAGGGGGGGATGCTTCGTGGAGGACTTTCTAAGGGAAACTGGCTCGTATACACGTTACACATGGGAAAACCACGAAAACACCCATGTAGCCGGACCGTTCGCGGGATTCGAACCTCGGACCGAACTACCAGTGTTCAGCGACTTTACCGCTCGGCCGCTGGTGGGCCGTTTTACGACTCATATAATAATAAATGCATATTCATATTGTAACAGAAATTTTGTTAGAAGTCTAGCATATGTATAGTTATTTGTGATCTTTTAAAACTGTCGTAACATGATGCATATTTATCATTATCGTGAACCAAAACAGTATGCTTTACATCCTTACAAATATACGTGATAGATTTTAATATTTATTTCTGCATATACTTACGTTTCCCAAAGACACGAAAGCAAGTCAAGCAGATTTTTGTTGTATTAAGCAGACTTAAGTTCTCTGTTAGCTAGTGTAACATAATTTCGGATGTTAGTGTAACATAATTTCGGATTCTATGAGCCTTCCAGAATTATTAGCAAAATAGTGGAAATGTGTCTTTACAAAGTGTTTTTATAAGCAAACAGCAGATGTACACTGAGCAGTGATCAACTGATATATTTCTTAAATGATTTGGTTTAGTTGATTATGACAAAACACACTGGGGCTATGTGCCTAAAAGGAAAAATGCCTTCGTAGAGCACTTTCTTAGGAAAGCTGGCTCGTATGGTACGTGGTAAGCTGGCTTGTAAGCTGGGAAAAAAAAAACCACGAAAACGCTTATGAAGCCAGCCCGTTTGCCTGAGATCGAACTCAGGTCGGAACTACCAGTGTTCAGCGATTTTACCGCTCGACCGCTGGTGGGCCATTTCTTAAATGAATAAAGGTATACTCATAGCATTATGAAATAACACTGATTGAAATATTTAGTGCTTCACTATTATCTCTAATAAAGTAACATAAAACTTTCCTTACCTTTTATAGATTTCTAAATTTCTTTTAAGTTCTTAATTCGTACTTAACCTATACATTTGCGAATGTTTTTATCGATTTTATACGTTAAGGATAAAAAAATGCAAATGGAAAAAAATTACAAACCGGAAAACTAAATTAGGTACCGCGTTCGATTCGTAAGTTTTGTATTTTTTTTTCATGAAACGTTTATTTTAAATCTTTTGATACAGAAACATTGGAACCCCAGAGAAAACCAGCAATAGAATTTTGGGTAAAGTGAAGAATCCCCCACTGTTTAAAGCGTTTTTAAGAATTGCACATACTCTGTATTCATGTGCACATCGACCTATTTTCACTTTAACCCTCCAGGCGGCAAGGCCGTATATATACGTTCGAAAATAATGGCTCTCATAGCGGCAAGGCAGCATATATGCGTCCAAATATTTTGGTCCTCATAACGGCAAGGCAGCTTATATGCGTCCAAATATTTTGGTCCTTATAACGGCAAGGCAGCATATATACGGCCTGTCTCAGAGTGCCCTCCCCTCTCTGCTCTTAATGTAAACTGACAGGTGTTAATTTTTCTCTGCGGGAGGTAATTGAGGAGAGGAAACTATCTATTCGCTAGGGGCAAATGGGTTTTATCGTTAGGTTTTGAATAACAGTTCGAAATAAATAGCCCGTTCAAAACTTCCAGCTGTTCCAGCTGTTCTGTGCTTATACCAGCTATATTAAACTTAAATGTTTATATATAAATGTAAAGAGAATTTTCATTTTCCAGCCTAATATTCTCCAAATTTTAGATGCAGTTTGGCAAAATGTAATGGAATTAAAAATTAAAATTGCAAGAAACTGAACAATATTTTGAAATAGTGATTTCAATTATATTGCAATTAATTAGCTTCGCAATTACATTAGAGTAAGTACTTTTAAATGCAACAATAATGTATGTAATTGCATTTATTCTTAAGTCTTACAATAACAATGCATGCAAGATACCACAAACATTATAATTATATAATCTAATTACAATTAAAATTTTGCATCTAATCACAACTACGGTAATATTAGCTAATTATAACGTAATTTAACTGCAATGCAGTTGGTAATTATAACTACGTAATTAGGAAGTAATTGTCTCTGATAATGTAGAATTACTTAACATAGTGAAATTATGATGATAATTGTAATTCTAAGTGTAGTATGCAATTGTAATAAAATTATGCAATTACTAGTTAATAGTTAAAAAGTACTGCTTTTTTAATTACATTACAATTTACGTAATTTCATTTAAATTACACTTACTCTAATTTGTG